AATATAGAAAACAGCAATAGTCAAATGTTGTCCCCAGTTTTATAAGGTCTTCAGAGCAGAAATTAGTAGTACAGTTTTATACTACAGGCAGAGTATCCCATATACCAAGAAGATAGGTCCCACTTGGGACCAGAAGTGTTTCAGACTTCATAGGTTTTTGAGATTTTGGAATATTTGCATAGACTTTATTGGTTAACTATCCTTTTTTGTTTGTTTATTTTTTAGTTGTAGTTGGACACAATACTTTTATTTTTTTAATATCTTTATTATTTTTTTTATTTTTATGTGGTGCTGAGGATCGAACTCAGTGCCTCACATGTGCAAGGCAAGCGCTCTGCCACTGAGCCACAATCCCCCTCACAATATTTTTATTTTTTATATTTTTATGTGGTGCTGAGAATGGAACCTAGCACCTCACACATGCTAGGCGAGCACTCTACTGCTGAGCCACAACCCTAGCCCAAGTATCCTTGTTTTGTTCTACCAAGTCTCTCTTTTTTAAAATTTTATTTTTTAATTTGTTCTAATTAAAGGCTTCCCCTTCTTTACTCAGTCATAAACTGTGTTTGCTTTTCTGTTTTTCATGGATCATGCTGTCAGTTATTTTAATATGAGAAGTCATTGCCAAATCCAAGGTCACTTAGATTCCCCCTGTGTTATCTTCCAACATTTTGTAGTTTTGTGTTTTACATTGAGGTCTGTGAGTTAATGTTTGTGAAGGGTATAAGGTCTGTATCTCAGTCTGTTTAGGCAAAAATGTTTTAATGGGTAATTTATAAACAACAGCAAACTTATTTCTCACAATTCTGGGAGCTGGAAAGTCCAAAGTCATGGTGTCCGCAGATTCTGTCTGTTGAGGGCCTGTTCCATTGATACTGTCCTCTCATGGAGCCTCATTATGGTGGAAAAGTCAGAGAATCAAGGCAGCATTCTAGAGCTTTTTTTTTTTTTTTTTTGGTTCTCACATGAAGCACCTTCTACTGAGCTACACCCAAACTTGGAGTATCTTTTTCTCCTCCTCCTCCTCCCCCAACTCTGCTCCCACCCCTCCTCACCACTCCTTCCCCTTGAGGAATCAATCTCCTGGAGCCTCTTTCTATAAGGGCGCTGATCCCTCTCACAAGGGTAGAGACCTCATGGCATAAACATGTCTGAAAGGTCCCACTTCCTACTCCTATTGCCTTGGTAATTAGGTTTCAACACAGGAGTTTTGGAGAGACATGTGCATGCAAATCATAGTAAATTCTTTTTGTTTTTCAGGTGGGTGTCCAGTTATTCTAGCACCATTTGTTGAGAAAAAAAATCCTTTCTTCATTGAATTGCCTTTGTTCCTTGCTTGTCCCAGAAACATGGCCTCATGTATGAGGACTGGATCCTCAAGGTGCTGTGAGACAGATTTAAGATTGCACAGTATGCAATTTGTTGAGGACTTACAGAAGCATTATCTTGGGCAGCAGCAAGACTAAATGGATCCCCACAATTTGGGTGGGAAGAAGTGGTGTATATCTTGGCTAGGATAGAGTGATAGAATGTACATAGTTTATCTTAAGCTAGTATCAGAGTCAGATATATTCCTGCCACCAAGGTCAGTTGTAAATCTCCACATATCACGCTAATGATTTGATCTATTTATAGTTTTCTGGGAAACTATGCAGGAAAAACTGACTAGGGTTACTCTGGGGTAATCATGATTGTTACAACTTAAGATGGCTTCAGTCATGTCAAGATGAATCCTTACACTGGTCAAAAATCAATCTACTAGCCTGGCACTGTGATGCATGCCTGTAAGTCCAGCAACTCACCTGTAATCTCAGCTACTCGGGAGCCTGAGGCAGGATTACAAATTTTAGACCGGTCTGGGCAATTTAGATAGCCCCTGTCTCAAAATGAAATTTAAAATGGGTGGGGGCAGGGAGGTAGATCAGTGGTAGAACGTCCCTGGACTGATCAGCAGTAGAGCAATCCCCAGTACCGCTGAAAACCAAAAAAAAAAAAAAAAAATCAATGTAGTTTATCTTCCTTCTTTCCTTGCTTGCTTCTTTTCTACTGGGGATTGAACTTGGGGGCTCTCTACCACTGGGTCACATCCCTAGCCTTGTAAAAATCTTTTATTTTGAGACAGGATCTTGCTAAGTTACCCAGGCTGGCCTCCAACTTGTGATCCTTGTGCCTCATCCTCCTGGGTCACTGGGATTATAGGTGTGTGCAGTCTTGCCTGGCATGGCCATGTGTATCTTTTGAACACAATGCTGTGCTCCAGTGTGGCCATGCAGGAATGTCCCTGTACCATTGACCTCATTGATGGGCTTGGTCAGCTGACTATCCCTGATGTCCTTCTTCCCCCACAGTCTCCTAGGGGTTTATATTTATTAGGATTTTCTGATTGCAGGAAGAAACTGACTCTGATTTTAGCAAGAAAGGGGATTGGGTAGATCACAGAATTGATTAATGTCTGATTAAGCAGGACTGGAGGATGTACAGGGGCAATCACTGAAGACCAGAGCAAAAATGGGCCTCGCAGAAGGTGTGGGCTGCAGTATGAGCTGCTCTGCAGCTAAGAGCCAGAGGACCAGGCCAACCTAAAATACCAATGGGATTTGTTCATGATTTGAAAGGTGCTGTGTGAAGTGCACTGCAAAGCCTCAAAAGAGGGTCAATGCAGAGCCCTGAAGTCCTGAAGCAGCACTACACCTTATGTGGCACAGCTGTTCACTGTCTCAAAACAGTTTCTGCCATGTAACTGGGACTGGGTAGAGACTTAGAGCCTGTGATGGGACATTAAGTCTGTATGTGACCACATCTGCCCATCAGGAGCTGCATATCATCAGACCTACCAAATCCTGAGGCCAGGCAGGTACAGCAGCAATCCCATCACACTGGTACATTCGGGTCCAGATGCAGTGGGGCCAGAGGCACAAGTAAGGGATGTGAACAGCTAGTCCAGCTCCCCACATTGTCTGCCTCTAATTACACTGGCACTTCCCTTCAGCTCACACTTATAGACTGATGGGCAGGGACTCCCCTGTTAATGATAGAAGAAAACACTCAGTCCTTCCATGGATTAGCTCACTTAGGGATTAGGAAAACCAGGATGTTGCCATGCCACAGACCCACTCAGGGTGGTCACAAAAGACACTGGTGAGGGGAAATCTTTGCAGTGAGCAGTACTGTAGGTTGTTCACTTCATAGAGGGAAAAATGGCCTGGGATAAGGGGTCCATGAACTCCTGGGAAGTGGCAGATGACTTGGCTGACTGGTCAGGACCCTGACTGATATGACTGGAAGGCAAGTGACAAGGTTTGGAGAAGAGGGGTACCTGATGGGGTGCTCTTGAAGTGTATGTATAAGATGGGTCTTATGCCCAGGCTATCAGGGAGCATGCACTGCAGGAGAGCACAGGAAACCAATGGCAGAGGGAATGTCTGTCAGCAGTGGCCATTGTGGAAAGCCTGGGGCTCTGCCTGGGCCCAGAAGCAGGGGCCTCCTCTCCCCATGGCTGTTCTAGGTACTGCAGCTACTCCATGTCCCAGACACCAGCCATAGGGACCAGTGCAGAGCTCTCAGTGAGAGACATTCCTCTAAGAGACCAGCAGGACATTTGGTAGCAGGTTGCACACTGCATACCAGCTCTTTTCTCAAGTTCTGCTCTCTGGGAAACTCCTGATAAGCCGCTCACACCTGTTCTTCCTGATTCCTTTCGAAACCAGGAGTCTGGGCGGAAAGAAAGGGCCTTCAGGAAGCCTCCCCCAAGTGCTAATTAAACACCCTAGTGTCAAAGCCCAGAGATAAAGGAAATAAAGCTGTAGCAATTCAATGAAGGACTCTTTTGCAGCCAGGGGCCATGGGCTCAGACAGCTTTTCTAGTCTGGGGCCCCAGGGGCACAAGTAAGGGATGCAAATAGATAGGACAACAGTGTCTTCCTCTATCAATCAGGCATATATGTCTATACACCTGTGAGACCCAGCCCTCAATCTGCTGCTGCTTTGCAAAGGCCCTCTCCCTCCAGGCTTGTTCAAGAGGAGGGGTCAGGCTGTGGGGGAGAAGAAATGAAGGGATTGTTAAAGGGGGCGGGCCCGAGTGAGGGGCTGAGAAGCAGGTAGGCAACAGCCCCAGGCTCGCCAGTCCTGTGCATGCATCAGTTCGAAGGCATCAGACGTTTCTCGGATGGCTGTCTCCACCTCCTACCGTGCTCCATGCTTTTCTTTTCTCTAAACAAAGGTGTCCATTTCAAAGACAGCAAGGGAATGGCTGAGTTGAAAGAGGAAAGCAGTTGTTAAGGCGAAGATAGAGGGAGGAGTAGAGGCATTCGGGCTGCTGAGTCCAGGACCTGGGAAAGGAGCTGAAATTGGGTGCCCCTTCCAAGGCCCATAACTCTCCCTAAGGGATCTGAGAGGCATGTCCTCCAAACAGGACCCCCTCTCTCCCGGAGCGGCACAGCAAAGGCTACAGGTCCGCTAAGCGTTGCGGGACCGACACAGGGGTCACCAGGTGCTGGGGTGCTCCGCCTGCCTCCACCAAGGCCCCGCCCCCGGCTTCCCGCACCGACTCCGCGGCCCCCAGCCGCTCCTGCCCCCACCCAGCACCGCTCCGCTCCCCGCGCGCGTGCGCCGGGTCCCCGCACACATCCCCCGCTGCTGCTGCGGGCGCGCGCGCGTGCCCGTCGTCCCAGGCGGGAGCCAGAGACAGCCGGCCGGTTGCGGGCCAGAGAGCGGGCTCTGGGAGCGCCGAGAGCGCGGCAGGGCGAGGCGGGAGCGGGGGCGCGGGCCTGGCCGCGGGCGGGGGTCGTCTCGTGCCGCCGCCCCCCTGTCGGCGGGCCGGGCCGCGGCGCCGAGCGCGAAGGCCGGGCTCCCGGGGCCGACGGCCATGGGCAGGAGCCGGAGGCGGCAGCGGCAGTGGCGGGCCCCGCGGGCGGGGAGGCACTCGGCCCACGGCCCCTAACGGCCCCCGGCGGCCCGGCGCGCCCCCGCGCCTCCTGGGGGGCCGTAGCCAGGCAACGCCCGGCGCGCCCGCCCATCCCCCGCTGCCCTTTTTTTCCAGGCCGGGTGCGAAGGAGCATGCCGGCGCCTAGCCTCTGGCAGCGAAGAGTTAAGCAGAGGGGCGTGGAGCTGCCCCCTCCTTGGGGGCGTGCCCCCCTCCCCCGCTAGGTGGCCCGCCCCCCCGCGCTAGGATATGGACCCCGGCCCCGGCCCGGGACCAGAGGTCCCGCGCATGGGCCAGTGAAAGGTGTGTTCCCGTTCCCGCTCTCTTCCTTCCCTCGCCTGCCAGCACCATGGGATGTAATATGTGCGTGGTTCAGAAACCGGAGGAGCAGTACAAAGTGATGCTTCAGGTAGGGCGGCTGGGCCTCAGGGGTGAGGGGCAAAGCCCCGCCAAGCGATTGAACAGACCCCGTAGGGAAGGACAGGTGGAGTCGGGGAGGCGGGCGTGGGAGGGCAGTAGGCATCCAAGAGGAAAAGGTAGGGAGCCAACCTCACCCTCAGATTCTGGGGTTGCTGGGTGTTGGCGCTCCGTGGGAGCCAGCCACGGATGGGGGAGCTGGATGGGGGTGGGGGTGTGAGGCGCAAGACTTGGGTGCCTGAAGAAGATTGGAACACGAGCCCTGCGTCCAGATCAGCCCGAGATGAGAAGTTGGGTTTGCCCGGGGTAGGGTACGCTTTCGTCCCGGGACTTGTAGCCGGGAGGCACGGCTTGGCCGGCGCGGGATGGAGGTTGCATAGCAACGGGCTGGATTCCTGGCACACGCTCTCCCAGCTGGACCCAGAGCCAAGGTAGAGGCTGGGCGCCTACGGTGCCTGGGGCTGCCGAATCCGGTCCCCACGGGCCAGGGACGCAGAAGCCCTAAGGCGCCGACGCCAGTCACTGTCCGGCCCGGTGGCTGGAAGGCCACTCCTGAGCTACTCCTGGGTTTGGCCCTGTCAGAATTGTGGGCTCCTGGGCCTTGGGCTTCTCGGGTGAGTGGGCGCCTCCGGGTTGGCTGTGCCTGGCCGACGCTCAGCACGTCCGTCGGCCCCGGCTCTGGCCTCCTGAGCCATGCAGGCTATGAACCTGGTGGTGAGCTGTGCGGAGCTGGAAACACCCGGCCTCGTGCTCACACCCCGAGTCCAGCCCCGCAGCCCCGAGTGGGGCTTCTTTGCCTGTGCGTGGCGTGACTACGTGAGTGTGTGCCTGTGCCCCGTCTGTGTGTGCGCGGAGGTTCCCAGGCCCCGCGTTTGTGTACTTTCTGTGTGCACCCCGCCAGGTGTTTAGAGAAATGTATCCCTGATGGTGTGGACAGAGACTCTGTAGGGCTAAGTTCAGGGAGGTCAAGGTCAGAGGGAGTCGGGACCCAGGAACAGATGCAAGCGCAGACAGGTATGCATTTAGTAGCTCCGACCTGAACTTGTGGGTTTATTTGTTACATTGGGGAGCAAGTGCATGCAGGAGAAGGTTGACTAGACAGAACCAGGAGGTTTCTAGACGAATAAGGGGGAACCCCAGTAGACATCGGCAGAATCGTGGTGGGAGCATAGGGGGAGATTTGGAACGGATCAATGTATGGAGGTGGCTGCAGGGAGCTCAGCATTTGTGCTGGGAGCTTACTTAGTTCCTTTGGCCTCCAAGAATAGGAGGCGGGGGAGGGTGGAAGTAGGGGTGGCGTGCAAGCTTTGCCCCAGCCTGGTGGAGCTTCTGGTCCCCTCTCCTTGGCTCTTCCGTGGAATGTGCGTGGGGCCCTTGCTTCTCCCAATTGCTGCTTTCCACCTTCTTCCCTCTGCTACACTCCCCCCTCTGCTGTTACTCTTCTCTTGTTTCCAGTTTGGAACCCTTGCCAGGCCATTGCCATTTCCCCAGTGTGATAGGGGTCTGCAATGACCCAGATTGGGACCAAGAGGACATTCTGCAGAATCTTGTATTCCCGGACTCCAGATGGGAGGTGGGCCTGGGACTTGGGATCCTCTCCTTATTGCTTCGTTTTCTGGAATTCCTCCGTTAAATGGCAAGCCATTCTAGCCCATCTGTTTTGACTTTTTTGGAGAAATTTTGGTGAAGCATTTGATGTAAGACTGGTCTCATGTAACCCCAGGCAGCACAATATTTATCAATTGATGGGCATTTGGGTTGCTTTCACCTTTTGGATGTTTTTTGGTTTTGGTCCTGAGGATTGAATCCAGGGGTATTTTACCACAGAGCTACATTCCCACTCCTTTTATTTATTTATTTATTTATAATTTTTTAAAATATAAAGGAAAAAGTAATCAATTCACCAATGATATGATCCTAATATATAGAAAATTCTAAGAAATCCACTAAAAATATTAAAACTAAAGAGTTCAGCAAGGTTTCAGAATACAGGATCAGTGTACAAAAAGCAACTGTAGGAGCTGGGAGTGTGATGGCACATGCCTATAATCCCAGCAATTCAGGAGGCTGAGATAGGAGGATCACAAGTTCAAGACCAGCCTCATCAATTTAGCAAGACCCTAAGCAACTTAGTGAGACCCTGCCTGTCTCAAAATAAAAAATAGAAAGGGCTGGGGATGTAGTTCAGTGATAAAGCATCCCTGGGTTCAGTACTCCATACCCCCTCCCCCCAAAAAATTTATAGCTTTGGCCTGGGATGTAGCTCAGTGGCATCCCCAGCACTGCAAAAAAAATTGCAACTTTATTGATATACAATTCACATACCACACAATGCATCCTTTAAAAATGTGTAATTCAGTGTGTTTTAGTACATTCACATAGCTGTGAAACTGTCACTGCTATCTAATTCCAGAACTTTTTTTGGGGGGTGGGTGTGGTATCAGGGATTGAACTCAGGGGCACTCAACCACTGAGCCACATCCCCAGCCCTATTTTGTATTTTATTTAGAGACAGGGTCTCACTGAATGGCTTAGCACCTTGCTAAATTGCTGAGGCTGGCTTTGAACTTGCAATCCTCCTGCCTTAGCTTCCCGAGCTGCTGGGATTATAGACAGGCATGCGCTACAACCCTGGCTTAATTCCAGAACATTTTTATCACCTTATAAAGAAATGTACCCATTAGCAGTCACTGTCCCATTTCTTCCCCAAACCTCCCAGCCCCTGGCAACTATTCATCTCTTTCTCTTCCTGTGGATTTGACTATTCTGGGCATTTTATATAAATGAAACCACATAATATATGACCTTTTGGCCAGGTGCAGTGGCACATGCCTGTAATCCCAGTGGTTTGGGAGACTGAGACAGGAAGATCACACATTTAAAGCCAGCCTCAGTAACAGCGAGGCACTAAGCAACTCAGTGAGACCCTGTCTCTAAATAAAATACAAAATAGGGCTGGGGATGTGGCTCAGTGGTCGAGTGCCCCTGGGTTCAATCCCTGGTACCCCCCCCCCCCAAAAAAAAAAAAAAACACACACACACAAACACACACACACACACACACACACACACACACTTTTTGTGTCTGGCTACTTTCATTTATAATGTGTTCAGAGCTGGTACATATTATATCACAGACCAGTGCTAAATTTCTTTTTATTGCCAAATATTTCATTGTAGAGTATGCAGCATAATAATATTTACCTCTTTATCAATTGATGAGTATTTGGGTTGTTTAAACCTTTTGGTTGTTTTTTTGTTTTTGGTCCTGGGGATTGAATCCAGGGGTGTTTTACTACAGAGCTACATCCCCAGTCCTTTGTATTTATTTATTTATTTATAATTAAAAATATTTTTTGGTTATAGATAGATACAATACCTTTATTTATTTATTTATTTGTTTATTTGGTACTGAGGATTAAACCTAGTGCTTCTCACATGCTAGGCAAATGCTCTACCACTGAGCTACAACCCCAGACATTTATTTTTAAATTTTTTTAGTTGTAGATGGACACAATACCTTTGTTTTATTTATTTATTTTTGTGTGGTGCTGAGGATCAAACCCAGTGCTTCATACATGCTAGGTTAGGCAAGCACTCTACCACTGAGTCACAACTCCAGCCCCCCTTTTTTATTTTTTATTTTGAGACAAGATCTCACTAAGTTGCTGTTGCTGTCCTCAGACTTGTTATCCTCCTTCCTCAGCCTCTCAAGTCACTGGGAATATAGGAAGTATACCACCATAGCTGGTGACTTTCAGCTATTTTAAATAATGCTCCTGTGATTGTTGGTGGACAAGTATCTGTATCCCTGCTTTCAATTCTTTTTTTTAATATTTATTTTTTAGTTTTCAGTGGACACAACATCTTTATTTTATTTTTATGTGGTGCTAAGGATCGAACCCAGTGCCCTGCACATGCCAGCGAGCGCGTTACCACTTGAGCCACATCCCCAGCCCTCAATTCTTTTATATACCTAAAAATGGAATTGCTGGATCTTATGGTAATTCTTTGTCAGTGTTTTCCACAGTGGCTATACCATTTTCCATTGCCATCAGCAGTGCACGAGGGTTCTGATTTCTCCTGTGCTTGCCAGCCCTTGTGATTTTCTGGTTGTCTCTTGTAGCTATCCTACTGTGTGTGAAGCAGCATCTCATTGTGGATTTTTTGTTTTGCAGTCTGGTTTTTATTGTGCTGGGGATAGAACTCAGGATCTGCCCCTTGAGTGCTCTCCCTGAGCTACATTCCCAGCTCGCATTGTGGCTTTGATTTACATTTCTGGTTGGCAAAATAATGTGGAACATCTTTTCTTGTGATTATTGCTTTGGAGAAAGATCTGTCCTTATATCATTGCCACATTACTCTGGTTAGTGGAGGCTTGTGGGAAGTTTTGAAATTAGGAAGTGTGAGTAGTTCAACTTTATACTTCTTTTTTAAGATTGATTATGGTGGGTTCCTTGAGTTTTCATGTGAATTTTGGAATAATTTTGACAATTTCTGAAAATAAGCCTGAGATTTTGGTGGAGGTTATATTGAATGCAATCAATTTGGAGAGTGTTGCTCATATGAACATGGGGTGTCTATTTATTTGGGTCTTTAATTCTTTCAATGGTGCCTTGTACTTCCTATGTTAAATTTATTCAAGTTATTCTATTCTTTTTTTGGTGCTGGGAATGGAACCCAGGACCTTGTTCATGCTGGACAAATGCTCTACCACTGCGGTAAATACATAGCCCCTACAGTTTATTTTTCCCCCTTGTTACTGGGAATTGAATCCAGAGATGCTATATGACTAAGCTACATCCCCAGTCTTTTTTATTTTTTTTTCAAACTTTTGAGACAGTATCTCCCTAAGTTGTTGAGGCTGGCCTTGAACTTGTGATCTTCCTGTCCCAGTCTCCCAAGTCTTTGGGATTACAGGCATGTGCCACCATGGCCTGGTCCTACAGTTGATTTTTGTACACTGATCCTGTATTCTGCAATCTTATTTAA